AACTGAAGATGTGGTTGAAGAAGCTTAAAATCCCCAACTAATCTAGAGGAAGGCCTAAGAGTAGAGGTGAACCTCATTCATGTACTGAAAGAGTATAGCTGTGCCAAGACCCAGAAAGAGTGGATCCAGTGGTTGTCCCCCTAAGAGAGGCATACGGTTACAACAGTGGTCCCAGAGAAAGATCTAAGCTACCACCAGAAACCAACAAAGAGAGTGGTTCTGTCTTGTTCTATGGGATGGTATACTGTGCTGCAGAATAGTGTTTTCCCATGTCTTATTAGTGACCTGGCAGAGTGTACTATTAAAGGTTCAGGCCCTCACTGTGGCAGAGAGAATCCACACTGAAGTAGGACACTGGTGTGTCCACAAAACGTTCTCCTGGTTCAAGAGACAAGTCGTGTGTGAGTGATTACCCATTCTGTTCAACATGCATACCCTGTGTAAGCTCTGACACTGACTCAATGCTGCTTAAACTCAGGTCTTAGGGAAAGTGAATATCAGTGAATCAGAGGTTAAAGTGGACTTTCACCCTAAAGATCATGCCATGTTGTCCTGCCTCCTCCTGACTCTCACTCTTACAACTGGACAATGGTTTTTTAAAAATTAATGTCTTTTAATTGCGACCTCCTGCTCTGGAATGGCAGGTCTGCAACCCCTGGTCATGGGTTCCTGACCCACCATCCCAGAGAATCAGTGTTCTGAATGTAGCCGGCACTAGAGGAAGCACGGCTGAGGAGGGAGTAGAGCTCCATAAGCTGATGCTATGTGTATAGTCCCAGCTCCTGTCACAGGTGGAGTGATACCAATTGCACTCTGCCTGGGACAGCAATAGCCGGCAATATCTGTAGCAAGGGAGATTTCTGAATGTTTCCTGAATGATTGTTAAAGGTCAGTTTATATTCTAAAATCACAGTGTATATATGGGCATATCTCTTCTGTAATGGTTACTAGGCTGCTTTCAAACTGATCCACAGTTGCACCTGCGGATTACCTGCACTGAGCCATAGACTTCTGTTATTATCTGCTGGTTTGGTGAACTTTCAGAAAGTGCACCACACTTGCAGGATAATATGGAAGTCTATGGTGAAATGCAGCTAACCCGCAGGAATGCCACAGGTGCACTTCGCTGCGTATGTGGTGCGGGTAAACCGCAGCGCATCAGTGCGCAAGCTGCCTTAGGCCCCTTTCACAGGATCGGTTCGATCAAGTCTGCCTGTCTGTTTTTCAGGCAGACCCAATTGGACCCTCGATTCACCTCTATGGAGCGGAAGATGTAAATGGACTTGTGTCCAGGGGCGGACTGACCATTTGGAAACTCGGGCACTGCCCGAGGGCCTGGGGTCAGTAGGGGGCCCCATGAGATGCCCCTGGTACCTTGTTCATAGACTTTTTTGAGTTTGGGCAAGGACACAGGGGCCCCATGATCCCCTATTGCCCGGGGGCCCCATGAGTTGTCAGTCCGCCCCTGCTTGTGTCCGTTTACACCCGCCTACTTCAATCCAATACACTTTAAAAAATAGAAGGGGATCCGTCCCTTTCCATCTGGGCGGATCGGAGAGCCCATAGAGTAGAGTGGGCTGTGTCCATGTCCGCTCTGCATATGCAGATTGAACATAGACCTGTCATCCACTCCCTCCGCTCATTGTGACCGGTTACCAAGTCGCTTAAGTGGCCCTGGCTCTTCCAAAGGTTGGGCACCCATGCTTTGCAGGCTATGTACAGCACAGTGATAAGAACTGGGTTTGCAAAGGCACTTTGTGAATTTTATATCTTTTGTGGCAATTGAGGAATTAGTTTAAATAACAGCTTTTGTGCCTGGAGTTTAGCTTTAAGGGCGTTAAGGGCCAGATGAGTTTCTGCATGCGCATTTTTGGTACGTTCTGGTGCATTTTTGATACAATTTTGATGCATTCCAGTGCGTTTTTGATGTGTTCCAGTTCATTTTTTCCTCTTCTTCAATTTAAATAGAGACATGTGCATTCCAGTGCGTTTTGGTGTGCTCCAGTGCAATTTTGTGCATTTTTTATGTGTTTTACAACATTTAATATTATTATTACACACATTCCAGTACAGTTCTGTGCAGGAAAAATGCAGCCTGTTCTATTTTTTTTCTGTAACTGGAACTCACTAGAACTGAAATTACTGATGTAAACTATGACATTGACAACCATATAACCTACTTTCTGTGCATTTTGGATGCAGAAAAAAAGCAACTAAAATGCATGTAGTGTGAACTGGCCCTAAAACATAACTAGTCAACTCAATGATAATACTGTTCCTTTTTTTTCCCCAGAATAGGCAAAACGATAGACGCTGATCCAATTCTCTGCTATACAAATGATCTCTGTAAACTCCTGTGTATGAACTACAGTAATCAAATTATGGAGCTGCAAATACAAATTAAAAAATTTGTCATAATAACTTCTAGGCAGTTGGTATAAAAATATCACAAATTGCCTTTATACTAAAAATAGACTTTTACCTTCAGATGAGAAAACATCTTATACATATTAAATAAGATATAGTGCTGTTGCGCTTAGGAATTCATGCAACTTTGATAAGTAAACGCTGCAGTCCTAATTTGTGAACCAATAACACAAAAACAAACAAAATACCATGTGAACTGCGCATAAATTACCGTAAATGCATTAAATTTGACAATACATGAGTAATATTGCTTCATATATGCAAAATGAATGTAAGATTCAGTCCCAATGCTTATACATATTGTTTTACAATTGTAAGTTTTATTTTGGGATTTCCAGCTGTTCGGTACAGTTAAAAATAGATCAGTATAAAATAAAAAAAACACGAACAGACACTGTTATATAAAAAATAAAAGTAAAATAAAACAGATATACACAAAAATTCTTCTTTTATATTATTTTATGTTTTTAATAAATTTCTCTCCTCTTTGTCTCATGAGAACACTGTCCATGATAAAGCATCGGCATGCCTAAAATATTTCACGTAGGACTTGCAACTATTTATCCGGCATCCATGACAACATCCATCACAAAACTATAAATAAACTTTAAATATTATTACATAAATAACGATTTAGGCTCACATTTGTAAATATCACTAATGAAAAAATAGAACACATTTAGTTAGATTTAGTGCATATATAGTGTGTCATACAATTTTAACAGTACAGGAAAAAAGGAATTTCTACGTAGCTTATTTTCTCTTTTGATAGTGACCCTGTCACTTTTTAAAAAAATTGAAATGAAAAAAATCCTGCAATAAAAAAAAATCTGTGTCTATTCATCTGCTGCCCATTCTCAGAATCTTTATATTTGACATATTTCCAGGTGTGCTCGATGGCTGTGTCCCCTGTCACATGCTGTGGTTTCATTCACCAGTGCCTACGACACCATGGAACACAATGCACACATAGGGGCTGTTGGGAGGAACCACAGAGGGCAATGGGGATTGAGGGGGAGGGGGACAAGCATCTAACCCAAGAACAGGTGATTCTAAATTTTTCTCCTTTTGCATGATTTATTTTATTTTTTTGAAAAAGGAAAACAGGGTCGTTTTAACATGTATAAATAGAGTACAGAAAATATTGAAATGTACCATAAAAATAATATTAATTTTTTGTAAAAAAAAAAAAAGTCAGTTTGAAGTCAGGGTTTTAGAACATACTACTTGGATGAGCATCAGCAGGAGTATAAATTTGTGCTGGGACACATAGAAGGGGGCTGCCATTGCAGACACTCATTTAAACATGCTAGTTCATTGGCTGTCTCTGTCTTTAGTACCTTATAAAAATTATCTTAGAAAAGCCCATGGATCAGGGATGTCAGAGTGAAAAACTCCTAATCAGGGGCGGACTGACAACTCTTGGGGCCCCGGCAATAGAGGATCATGGGGCCCCTGTGTCCTTCACCACACTCAAATCACACCCAAAAATGCCTATAAAACGTACCAGGGGCATTTCATGGGGCCCCCTACTGACCCCGGGCCCTCGGGCAGTGCCGAGTGCTCGAATGGTCAGTCCGCCCCTGCTCCTAATCTACATACGTCTTCCATGGCAATGACTTGCAAAGCTTTGAAATTGTTGGACAACATGTCAGCCAATGGCAGCCTTCACATTTCTTTAATTCGGGATTCCTTTAATTCACCTTGAAAGGAAACAGTCTCGCTTGTGTCTTTTTGTTTTTTGAATATTTATATTTTATGCATTTAATATTTTTTTTCCACCTATATACAGTTTTTACTTTCCAAATAAATATTTATTACAGAGTATTACTAAATACTTCCCCAATATTTAGTTTGGACAGACAGCTAGGCTTACTAGTGAGAAAGTCTAGCGTTACTTCTATCTTATTAAACATACGGATATGAGTGTGTATGAGGTAGAAGACACAGAGGGGGAGGGAGGAGTCCCTCTTCTGACTTAGGCCTTATTCACCGAGTGGGGGGGGCAAAGGGTTGTAAAAACAAGCAGCTGAGCTGCTTTTTGCCCTCCCCCAACTGCCAAGGCCAGGGCATTGCAGTGAAAATGACACAACCTTTTGCATTGGACAGACACAAACACGACCCATTCAAATGCATGGGACCACACCACAGTTGTTCTGCAACATTGTGTATAATGCACACAGTTTTGGGCGTAGTACTGTGGACTTGCACTAGTTAAAGTGATGCTAAACCCCGGACCCTGCATTTCCCTATATCTGGTCTCCCAGGACCCTGCATTCACTATATCTGGTCTCCCAGGACCCTGCATTCACTATATCTGGTCTCCCCCCGGACCCTGCATTCACTATATCTGGTCTCCCACAGTACACGGAAAATGAAAATGCAATTATTTTAGTAAATATAAACTGCTAAATACCTTTTCTCATCAGCAGTTAGAGCAGTCTTGTGACTTCTATCAGTGTCCAGTACAGCACTGGTTAAAGCTTGTAGGAGGAGTTTTCATCCTTCTCTAGGAGGATGCAGAACCCCTGACTTCTGTATGGACAGTGCTGATTGGACCTGTGCTGATCACATACACCCTCCCAAGAAAAGAAAAACCTCCAGCAATGCACACCAAACTGAGCATGTGCAGAGTGTCTCCACACGATATGTCTTATCAGGAGATAAGAGGGGGACACTGGAAGAAGGGGAGGATCAGAGAAGTCAGGATCAAACAGCATTTTTACACAATGCAGAGGATTAACCCCTTATTTTCCACAGTGAGTATAACAAGCATATTATCTACAGACTGATTGACTGTTGTGGGTTTTGTAACACTTTGAGAGCTGTGAAAATGTGGAATAGACTCCCTCAAAAGTTGGTTCTGGCCAACTCAGTGGATTGCTTCAAAAATTCTTGGATACACAGACTATAACTGGATACTAACATTTATAGGTAAAGTTGATCCAGGGAATATCCGATTGCCTCTCGGGGGATCAGGTAGGAATTTTTTCCCCTGCAGGAGCAAATTGGATCATGCTTTGCTGGGTTTTTTTGCCTTCCTCTGGATCTGGATCAACTGTGGGTGTAGGATTATAACTTTTTTTTCTATGGTTGAACTGGATAGACTTTTGTCTTTTTTCAGCCAGACTAACTATGTAACTTTAAAACAGGCGTTCAGGAGGTAAATATCATGTCCAAGCTTCTTGTCAAATGCCTCTGAATAAAAACCCATGGTGGAACATTGCACCAGTAAACAAGGCCTTGCTCTGCCTTACTCATTCTTCATGGATAGCTCTGTACCGCAGGACTACACAGGCAATTTACAGCATAGAAGTAAATCACTGCAGAGATCCTATAGTCTGCAGCCTATAGCCTGACACCTACTGGCAGCAAGTATGAAATATTCACATTCAGTATTGCATAAAACATATAAAATACACAAAAATATAAAAATATATAAAATAAAAAAATATATATACATAAACACAATACATATTTAAATAGACCCTTTCATCTCCCTAAATTAATCCAATTACCAGAAACCTTTTATACTCAACACTCGTGTATCCTACCTTTTGTGGTTCCATCCTTGGACCCCGGTATCACTGTCCTGTAGTGACAGGTATCAGTGTCAGGGGTCGAAGGTTGGAACCAAGGAATGTCAAAGACACTAATGGAAGCTGCAACTCTGGAAAAGAGGAAAGGGAGGACCAGGGACGGACTGACAACTCATGGGGTCCCCGGGCAATAGGGGATCATGGGGCCCCTGTGTCCTTGCCAAAACTCAAAAAAGCCTATGAAAAAGGTACCAGGGGCATCTCATGGTGCCCCCTACTGACCCTGGGCCCTCGGGCAGTGCCCGAGTTTCCAAATGGTCAGTCCGCTCCTGGGGAGGACATATAATCCAATAAAGAGCTAAGAATAACGGCTCTTTTTTTGCAGGTTACTGGTATCTGGATTTGTTTAGGGACCTGACAGAGTCCCTTTAAACAGAAGGTCCTCATTTATATATTTTAGCTTGGTATGTTTTCAAATCTTGCGTGCTGCAGTTTAGATGCAATTTTCCAGCAGCTGAAAGAGGCAGCTTGTTAAAAATATATAAAATACATTATATGTACAAAATACCTTCCCCAAGGAAGATGCAAACACATGAAAACCGCACTTAAAAATGCAATTTCTGTTTTTAGGGAAACTGTGGTTGGATTGCATTCAAGGATACAGATAGTAAATTTTTTATGAGACTAAAATACGGTGAGGGCGGAAAGATTCCTGGCTGGTAATGTCAAAGGAAATGAAAAGTCGTGCGCCCGTCTTTGCTTTTAAGTCAATCTTTTCAAAAAGAAATATGGGTGCTGCCACTGAAAGCCTAGCTCTGAAAATGTTGAGTGCCTGGCTGCTCCATACCCCACGTCCAGCCCAGAGTTGGGTTTTAAGTACATTCTGAGTCGGAATTACAAAAATCGGAAAGGTCAGAGTAAAGTCTGAGGTCCCTACTTGCATACTTGTTTTGAGATGGGGGAGTATGGGGTCGATTTATTAAAGGCAAACAGGATGTTCACTTTGCAAGGGAAGTTGTGCTTTACAAATGTACTTTCCCCTGGGCTTAGTGAATGAGGTGAAGCTCCACTGGCTTCCATCATCCAATCATGTGCAAGCAAAAATGTTTTTTTCTTCTATTTTCCTTGCATGTGATTGGGTATTCTTTGCAAAATGAAATTTCACAATACTCACTAAGCTCTGGGGAAAATTCCCTTGAAAACGGAAACTTCCCTTGCAAGGGGAATAGCTTATTTGCCTTTAGTAAATCAACTCCAGGAATGCTCCTTTCATACGAAGGGTCCGATCAGGTCTACCTGTCAGGTTCACTGTCTGATCAGGCAAAGACAAAATCATCAATGACATCCTCTACATTTCTCTCAACAAAGGTTTCCTTCAAACATCCAAGCACATTTAGAAGACATTTTGCATGGTAGGATGTTTGAATACCAAATCACTTCACTTTAGTAGGTCAGACATTTCTGAAAGATCAAGCATGCATAATTAGGCAGCAGCAGAAAATTTTTTTTTGGGGGGGAGGGGAAGCTGGGTGGAGTTGGGAACCTCTTATATGCAGGTTTGAGATTAGGAGTTACCAATCTCCAGAGGAATGCACACAATAGGGAAAATTGGTAGCAATGTCTGGGCAAAGCTCAAAATATCCACTCATTAGCTTTATTATAATCATGGGCAAAGCTCAATGTTCCTGGGGATGGGGGTAAGCCTTATCCCTTTGAATTTACCAACCACATTTTAGCTTGATGGGATTGGGCATTTAACCCCTTCATCTGGGATTTTGTGGAATGATTCCAGTCAGAAGCCTTTTAGTGATATTTTTTTCCTAGACAAGAAAACGTGTTTCATCACAGGGGTTTATTTACTAAAACTGGGGAGCGCAAAATCTGGTGCAACTCTGGACAGAAACCAATCAGCTTCCAGGTTTTATTGTCAAAGCTTAATTGAACAAGCTGAAGTTAGAAGCTGATTGGCTATCATGAACAGCTGCACCAGATTTTGCACTCTCATTTTAGTAAATAAACCCCACAGTTCTCTCCCTTCTGATTCACAGCTTTTTGGCAATACAGCTTTGTCAGGTGATCACTGTCAAATGATTCTTAAAAGCACAAGCCAATCTAAATTTAAAATGAAACCTAAATATACATGCAGGGAGCACCCCCAATCTGTTCATTAGTTCATTTTCATCCATTCACTGCTGTACTGCACAAATTCACTCTACTCACTTTATTGGTAATCTGGTGATTTGAGAACCCCTACCTCACATGCAGGAAGGAATTCCCAAAACACACCCACTGTAGGCTTCATACTAGGGGCGGACTGACCATTTGGAAACTCGGGCACTGCCCGAGGGCCTGGGGTCAGTAGGGGGTCCCATGAGATGCCCCTGGTACCTTTCATTGGCTTTTTCATAGGCTTTTTTTGGGTGTGGGCGAGGACACAGGGGCCCCATGATCCCCTATTGCCCAGGGGGCCCCATGAGTTGTCAGTATGCCCCTGGTCCATACTGTCTTTCCAATGCAGAAAAAAAAGTGTCAGATAAAGCAAGTTACAAAGCAGAGGAGTTTAGACGTACACTCCCAGATCACCTGTAAAGTAATCTCTGGATTCTGTCTGCAGTATTTGATGCAGAACCCAGATAAAAGTTTGAGCAGACACCTATGATTCCATCTGTAAATAACATTAACACTGCAGTTTTTTTTCTAAGTCTTGCCAGTAGATCTGTTGATTTTTGACTTCCTGTAACAGGCTGTGCTCTACTGCAAAAGTGACAGTTATATGGCTTGGGACAAACCATATCAAACTAATAGGGACCATTAGTCCATCTCACAAGTGACAATGCTTCTGTGTAATTCCACTGCATTGTCTCCCCCCCAACACCTCGTAAAAGAAGTGTGAGATTAACAGATCTACAGGCAGTATCAATAACTAAAAAGACTATGTTGCAAGGGGTAATAAGAAATACAAAACTGCTGTGTTAATTCTATTGACACACTGCATCACTTCATTTTTTTTAAAGTAAATTAAGGGCACTCTGATTTTAGCACACTTGCCCTGGAGACCCTCGCCAGTTACAAAGCATACAAGCCGAAGTAGGTGGCTCCATCCTGGCCCAGAAGGTAGTTCATTTCTGAGGTGTGGGTTAACAGCACATCTCCATTTTCCAGCTGGAACACCCCTCCTTGGAAGATGGACTTCCTCCATCCCAAGCCTACGGGCCCATTTCTGGACTGGCCTGCATTTTTCTCTTCGCAGACTGTCTTCTGTGCATGGAGAAGTTGTATTTTGGCTCCTTGCCGTATAGAATTTAGAATCACTGCATGGGAGAGGAGGAAGGATGTTATCTTAGGGCAAGCTACAATGTCAAATGTAGCCTGGGTGTAGACAAAGTAAAGACCCTTCTGTTTGATGTGCACCTCGTTGTTGATTAGTGAGAGCTCCCCATGGACGAAGGTACTTTCCGTATTGTTGGTCCAGATCAGAGATCCATTATTGGGTGTGACAGCTGAAGAGAAAACAAAAATTTGCCAAGGTTGGTAAATATAACTAAGATAAAAAAAAAATCATCAAGAGAGGGGGAGAAGGACTCTGAGGAGTAAGATAATGGTCCAAAGGTGACCAAAGGTGAAGAAAACAAGGGTGATGGGGAGACAGAAGAAGGTGGTGAAGGAGGAACTGGAGGATGGCAATGGACAAAGATGGGGTAGTCAGGGATATAGAAGAGAGCGGTGCAGGATGGGGGGGGGGGGGGGAGAAGATAGGTGAAGGGTGTGGGGAAAGGAGAGGAGAGAAAGTGGGTTGATAGAAGATTGTGGGGAAGCAAGAAGAGGTAGAGGGTGGTTGTCTGGGGGGTAGAGTAGGGATATGGGGTAGGGAGAGGAGTGGATGGAAGATTGAGGGGAAAGAGGGTTGGAGGAGGAAGAACACATGGAAATGAAGATGAGAGAGGAATAAGTTGGGAGTACAGTTATAACTGAAATAGTACATTGACATGAGATTAGTACCTTCAAGATGAGCAGCGGGTATTTGGCCTATGGAAGAAGAGAGAAAAATTTGAATCACTTTATTTTTTAGAAGGATCAAATAAAAGTGTACTCATACAGTGAGATTCAACAAAATTTTGCAAAGCATTAATAAACTCCCCACAGGCTATAAATATGGCAATTAAAGTGATTACTTGCTTGCAGAAATCAAGAGCTGTCATCCTGATCCCTTTCTTTACTACTTAGACACTGGCCTGGAACAAACATGCAACCAGAGAAGTATCATAGTTACATGATTGGTAAAGTTTAATAAAAAACACCAGTCCATACAGTTCAACGTGTGTGTGTTCATGTCAAAAACATTGCCTGTATTCCTGTATGTTGTGTTAATCAAACATACCTGTCCAAGAGTTTTTTAAAAACTATCAATGCTTCCTGCTGACACCATTAATTGTGGAAGTGAGTTCTACATCCTTACCGCCCTCATAATTGAGGTCCTCCAGTCCCCTTATTAACTTAGTTGCCCTTCTCTGGACTCTCTCCAGTTCCTGCACCTCCCTCCTGAGGATTGGTGACCAGAACTGGACAGCATACTCCAGATGCAGCTAAACCAGAGTTTTGTAAAGTGGCAGGATTATAGTTTTTATCTCTTGACTAAATTCCCTTTTTAATGCATGCTAATATTTGTTAGCCTTTCTTGCTGCAGCTTTGCATTGCATGCTATTGCGGAGCCTGTCATCTACTAGGACCCCCAGATCTTTTTCCATCCTAGATTCCTCCAGGGGTTCTCCCCCTATTGAGTAATTTGTGTTTATATTTTTAGCCCTCAAGTGCATTGCTTTACAATTTTCAACAATAAATTTCATTTGCCATGTATTTGCCCACCTTATTATTTTATTGAGGTCTTTTTGTAATATTTATATATCTTGTTGTGAAATTATTGCCCTACTTAGCTTTGTATCATCAGCAAATACTGAGATTGAGCTCTTTATACCAAACTCTTAATCATTTATGAAAAAGTTAAACAGAATTGGCCCCAGGACAGAGCCTTGTGGTACCCCACTTACCACTTCAGTCCAGTCTGAGTACTCGCTGTTTATCACCACCCGTTAGACACGTCCCTGTAACCAGTTTCTATCCATGAACAAACCTTGTTGTCCATGCCATGTATTTGCCCACCCTATTATTTTATTGAGGTTTTGTGTAAAGTTTCTATATCTTGTGAAATTATTGCCCTATTTAGCTTTGTATCGTCAGCAAATA